TTATTTCCAAAAATAAACGGTTTTTTTTTTTTTTTTTTGGAAAAAGTATAGAGATTTATTAGAATCACAAACACAACAATTTAACAATGTTTTTGAAAAATGTGAAAGTGGCCCATTCTAATAAAAATTATTATTTAAAAGGGGCGAAAATAAACCCTTTTTTTAAAATTTACCCTTTGTTTGTTTACATTTTATCTCAGGCGCACTGGAGAATAAATATTTGTACCATGCTGTCCCATTGTTAACATTTTTCTAAATTTAAATTCTGGTTAATAGGATATTTTTAGCTTGAAATGGGCCATATTATCACATTTTAAAATATTTGTACTCAAACCTGATACACTCTGATTAATCTGTTACCTACCCAAAATAAGTATATATTGTCACTGCTTTGGTGTGCGTGACAGAAATCTTGGGTTCGTTGTTCGTTTATTCCAAAATCAAAGTCCAATTAACACAGCAATAATTTATTCCATTTAACTATACACTCTGACACTAATTACTTTAATAACTAACTCAGCAATTAAACTCTTTACAACTCGCAACAATAATCACTATTTAAATCGTATCACAGTCAAACTTAAACTTAAACTCAAAACTTTTAAATACCAGCTTGCTTTATATAGCCGTAAATCCGTTCACATGTGTACAATGGGAATCATTGCAATTGGCACACACTTTAAAAACATCCCCCATAATGTGTCAAAATTTGACTTCTTTGACAAACAGGTAATGTCAAAATCTTGTTAGATTGATAAATCAGTGGTGAACATAAAAGTTTTAACAAACTGTTAAAGGAAGAAAATATTTGTTTGCTAAAATAGTTCACGGCTTTACAATGACGAAAATGCAAGAGGCAATTGAAATGATAGAACAAGGTGAGACAATTGTCCAGTGCCGGATTTAGGGGGATTCCAAATGACGCGGCGGTAAAATTTTAAGCGGCGGTAGAAGGCGGCGAAGCCGCCTTTTATCTTCCATAATATTTATTTTAAAAAAAGATCCAAGAATCATGTCTGTTCCAACCCGCCAAAAAACCGTCCAAGAACGGTTTCGGAACCAGTCTGTATACCAATTTCAGATTCTTCGCCCAAGTTTTACGTTTTGCGCAGAATCCTGACGATGAAATGTACGGTTCCCTGCTGGGTTGGCAGTCCGGTCGCGGCAAAAAGATAAATTGTAATTTCCTGATAGGGAAGTGCGGTTTCGTTCCTTCCAAATTAAACAGTTACATGGAATTCTTTTACGAAGTTAAAGGCAAGAAAATTTGTTGTTTAATGAATGGTAAATTTGATAAGATTTGTTCAAGAAAATATTACCCACAGGAAATCTTCAAAAATAGTATATTGTGGATTCAGGTGGAAAAGTGACAGATTCTTGGCCGATGGTGTGAGTAGACGGGCGAGGCGCAGCCGAGGCCGGCAAACACCGAAGGCCGAGAATGTGCTTCTCCTCCGAAATACATATACTATTTTCCTGCGATCGATCAGTGATGAAAAAAATTAGAAATCTTTTGAAATAATGAGAAATGGTATTTGGTATTCTATATATATTATTAGTTTGATTTATGTAACTCTGAGTGCATTCAGCTTTCGTACAGGGTGATCTATTATAAATGTCACCCCTCCTCTTCTTTATTTGACGTTTTTGACAGGAGTGTCACATACAAAAGTTTTGAGAAGTTGTCAAAAGTTTTTAACTAAATCAGTTTTAAGCATACAGGGTGCGTCAAAAAAGTCTAGCAGAGCAAAGTTGTATTTTTTTAAATGGGAGTCCATATATATATTGTACGCTTATTATTTATTAGTCCCCTTCAACCTGATTTCAATGATATACATTTTGATATGTTTATCTCTCGGTTTATCTTAAATAGTTAGGTATAGGGAAAAATGCGAAAATCTCTTCCTAGGTCTCATGTTATTTTTTTTTTAATAATAATAATAGCTTAGGACACCTGGATTTATTATGATATTTCAGCTTGTAAATTATTGAATAACATTTGAACAATAAATTGTTTATAAACAATGCTCTCTAAAGCTTAAATGTTATAATTTTTCTTTCTTCAACATGCGACCTTGAAAGAGGTTTTCATGTTTTTTCCTATAACTATTGAAGATACACATATCAAATTATATATCGTTGAAATCAGGTCGAAGGAGACTAACAAATAAGCGCACAATATACATGGTGTTGCATTTAAAATAATATAACTTCGCACCGCTACACTTTATTGACGCACCCTGTATGTTCAAAGCTGACTTAGTTAAAAACTTTCGACAATTTCTTAAAGCTTTTGAATTTTATACCTTGCTCAGAAACGTCAAATGAAAAAGTTAGGAGAGGGAGACATTTATTATAGATCAACCTGAACAAAAAAAAAATGTCAATGTGAATTCCTATAAGAGAAAAAGTATAGTGTGTGACGTGTGTGAAAAGCACTATTTACACTCGTGAGGGTTTTGTGCCAAACGCCTGCGGCTCGTGCCACTAAACTGCCCCACGCACGTGAAAAGTGCAATTTTCAACACTTGCTGCACAATGTACTATTTTACACTCGCTCGACTCGCATTAAACTGTCTCGGCCGTGCGAAAAAAATCGTTTTCAAAACTTAATATTTAAATAACTATTTCGTTTCTGTAAAAAAAAAAATTATACGTTTACATTCAACTTTTTGTTTTTTTTCTGTAATAGGGTAAAAAAGGCGGCGATGCGATAAATCTGTACCCGGCGGCAAAAGGCCTAAATCCGGCACTGCAATTGTCTTAGCCCTAGGTTCTGGCATTAGCACGATCATGAATTCAAAGGGAAAATGGGTCGACAGAGGTTAAATATTCACGTACGCTACTGCACTAAATAGATTTATTGGTTAGAATTTTGACTTAATACGAGGGATGTTAAAAGAGTATGTGCCAATTGCAATGATTCCCACTGTACATGTACAATCTAGAATACACGCGGTAGCTCTCCTTTTTCCCGATTGAGTAGAATGGCCTTGGTATTTTCAAATTAACACTTCTATTATTTTTCACTGAATGGAGCCTTTAACTCAGTTTCAACCTCATCGACATAAAAAAGCAAGAAAAAAAAATCCTTCAGTGTTAAACATTTAGAAAATGCTTTTATTTGTTATTTGAAAGATCTTCAAAACAAGATGCCACTCAGCCCATACTCTCTATCATAATAATAAGGAAGAAAATCACCCTCAATACAAAAAAAGAATTACATACGGGGTTTTAACGAGAATCAAAATACCTTTAAAACAAAATACCACTCGACTCACCTTCCTTATCTTGTTACCCCTGAATAGAAAAAAATGGAAATTATTAAAAAAGTGTTTCTGAAAAAATGAAAATTGGCGTTTCTGAGAGAAAAGTGTTAATTTGGAAATAACAGGGCCAGAAAATTGTTTCATATTAAGCCCATGGCAACTTTGACAGTGAATATCTTGAGAACTAATCATTCGATTTCCAAAAAATACGCACTTGTGACGAGAATCAAAATACCTTTAAAACAAGGTATCAATCGACCCATCTTCGGCATATTCCCTATCTAAAAAGGAGGGGTTAAAGGCACCCCACTCGATGTGGTCAAAAATTTTCTCCTTAAATACAAAATTGACGTGTCTGAGCGTTTTTTCTAATCGACCTTGAAATACACTAAAACGCCTCTGTTTCGATGTTCGTGAAACACCCTGTAGGTATATGTATTTTGATAATATGATTAATTTATCTTGTTATTTTCTATTTTCGTCAAAGGCAAATTATTATATAGTAATACACCATACACCCTATGAAACATTCTTCGCCTTCAAGCGGATAAATTAATAATCCCTGTACAAAATAATGTAACAGAGTGAAACAGATCCCATACGTATCTTAGAGAGATGCATAGCGAGTCGAGAATCTCGGCGGTCAGATATTGCTCTCCCATAAACCCTTGACATCTCTTATTGTTTATTGTTATATCTTTGTTAATTTAGAAGCAAAAAATATGTGGTTTGCACTGTTATCTGGTCAATACAGAAGCGAAACTTTTATAAAGAATATTTTTTTTTCCATTTAAGCCTTTGTTTATCGTTAAATAAAAGGTATATTTAAAAAAGATGATTTTTTACCAAATTTTGCATGCCTGAAACAGAGATATTTACGTTTGAAGTTTTTTTCGGCCATAAGATGGTAATTATTTTTTTTTAGTTGATTATAAAAAAATACTCCCTACAAAGACCTTATTGTGCATTGGACCAATAAATAAGTATTATTCTCTCTATACGTCAGTGTCAATATCTCGACTTCTGATGATAGTGCCCTTTTGCACAGTCTAATTTTGTATTACCTTCGGAATAAGGGTTACCTTATCATGAACTTTGATCCCTACCCTAAAAAATTCAACTTGTGACAAAAAAGTGGGAGGTAGATCGACTTCTAGAGCGAATATTTTAATCCATCCACTCTACTATTAGTTTAACCACCACCCATGACTCTTCCGGCGGCGACGTTTTGCATTAGATATTACTATCTCAATTGGCTCCCTATAAAATTTGAAGAAATCGGATTTGTGAAACCTTGTTAATATTTTGAAAAGTGGGTCAAGCCCTCGATGTTGAGGGTAAAAATCACAATGTAGTTTGGATATCATGTTACCTAAAAATAATGCACTCAAGCTCCAAAATCATTATTAAAAAATCTACAAAAATAACAAACCCATACATTTTTTATTCCTACCATTCACATTAACACACAAATATTGATCAATGAAACATAATACCATAATGTAATACCATGACAAAACTAATCTCACCGTACCGTTTAGATCACTCACAAGTTAGTTCAAATAGTAATAAGTTATAAAAAAAAGTAAGAATACTAGTCGGAGCATATTTGCCCAACTGTTCGATCATAGGCAAAATAGATAACACAATTTACGTAATAGGTTCCTATTCCGTTTTGTATGGGCTTCATAAACATTACCTGGCTACATATTATTTCGGTTCGAGCTTTTTAGCAAATCGCACGGTTGTTATTATTATCGTGTTTACTACGAACAATGCAGTTCAATTTGCTCATTCGTGATGACAGGAATCGATTGACTAAAAAAAAAATCAGTGATAGAGTGACCTAAGAGAATGACCAACTTTCGTAGGCTTCAAATGGGACTACTAACGAGAAAAAGTAAGTAAAATAATTGAGTAGGTACCTGGGAAATACTTGAACCCTTAAATGATTACTAAAATTCCAAATGTAACTTAAAGTTTAATGTAAACTTGAAGTAAATAAATCTTTGATAATACCTATCGGTTAAAAAAAGCCTTGTTACCTTATAATACCTATTTTTGCTTACGTTTTCCTAAACCTTTTGTTGATGTACTGTGGACGGAACCTTGAAAATACGTAACGTGAAATTCTAGCTGGTTTGAAATTCACTATGTTTTTCTTTATTCACATGTCTCGATATCACGTTGATGTTTGTTTTATATTAAATTTCAAATCAGTCTAGGACTAGACCCTGAATTTGCTTTGCATGAATGAAAACACTAGCATAGGTGCTTTTTGTTATACCGGTTCAAAAAGTTAAGATAATGTGATAATATTTTAGATAGGTAGGCTAAATAATAATTAATTTAGCAGACAAGAGTTTAATGAAAAATAAATTGAGCAGGTGTGGATGCCGAAATACCGGTAAAATATATCTTGGGGTTGAGGGTTGCTTCCTGGTGCATAAAGAGTGTTTCCGGTTTTTAGGGCGCCTTTGTTCGAAATAAGTAATTCGAGACAGTGGCAACTTTTTTGCTTTTGTTACATATATTATTATTTCATATACATACACATAAAAACAACTTTTCTACTATTGGGTAGGTATAGATTTTATTCATCTACAATTTATACGATGTCACAGGAACTATCATTTAGAATTATTTTGAAATGTTCAGTTTGTTGTAGATTTTCAGAGAGATCACAGATCCAAATGAACAATTTTGAAACACTTTATTGGTTTTCAGGAAAATTCAAAATTGGCTTATTCTACAGAAACGTATCACTGATGACAAAATCGTAAAAGTATTTCCATAATTAATTGCATTTTTGCGGTTCTGTACTTTTAGTGGCCAGACTACTCTGAACCAGGGATGTGCCATAGACTATAAAATCTACTTTACGCGGTTTGTCTACTCGTTATCGACGTATTGTTCACATCCAATTTTTTCCATGTAGGTAGAGCAAGTAAACTCTATGTAAAAAATGTAGACTGTAGTGTAGACAACGAAAAATTTGAAATTTGAGCTATTTTTTTGAAAGTTTGCATTGCATCAAATTTATATTGTATTGATTTAGACATTATCTGCAGTTCAATTAACTTTACAAAGCAAAAAACAAAACAAAGCAAAAACAGAATCATAACAACTGTCAAAAATTGTATACTTTACGCGTTGTCTACATATTTTACACGTTCTCTACATAGATTACATAGTCTACATTGTCTATGCGTTGTTTACACCAGAACGTAGACAATCTTTAGGTCTGTTTCTGCAGAAATCACAAACCAGTCAGAGCGAATTTCATTGGTTGAAAACAGTCAGAAAACTAGTTTCAATCAATGAAATTTACTCTGACTGGTTTGTGATTTCTGCACAAACAGACCTTCTATTTACGCGTAGATGCCCATCCCTGCTCTGAACTATGTTATCAACGGTATAACTATGCTTTTGACGATAGTGTTGTATTCTAGTTTTGTTTGTTTGTTTTAGATTTTGTTCTCACGGTACTCCAATTAGTAGGGATAGGTATTGCGTTTCGTCCTTGTAGATTTCGATTTTTGATTGCTGCTTCTAGGGTTTCCTCATATGAATGAGATTTTCATTCTCAAATATTTGTATTCAGTGTATTGTTTTATTTTTGGCTCGTTATTGAATTTCAGGTTCCTACGATAAATATTCGGGCAGGAATTTTATTAGAAATTATTATTTACATTATTTGAGAGCGAATAATAAACCAAAACGAAAACAGGCAAAAAAAAAAACTCCTCGCGTCGTTACCGATAAGTTCCGGGAGCTTACAGACGGAAGACAAAGCCATAGCGAAAATGGAACGCATGCGTATTTCCTATTTTTTTGTTGTGTTTTGTTTTTGTTGTTAAATGTTTGTGGTTATCGAAATGGAGTCAAAACTAAATTCCCTCAAAAGATAGAGAAATCCTTTCGCGAATGAGGACGATATTATTTTATAAGAGAAATATTGGCCAACAACCCCTATGGCGATGCATCTAAATAGGCTTTAATAGTAGCCGATTTTGTAAAAACCACAGGGAAAATTAATGAATTTTGGGTACTAGGAAACTGAAACAAAGTGTAGATAGCACAAAACGTATATGAACACAAACCATTAAAGATAAGTTATGATGTTTGTCGAATTCGACTTAACGTAAACGTTAAGCGGATTGATCGAAAACAATTTTTAGGATCTGTCAAATAGCAGCTTCGTATTGGTATTCCTTATAGTTAACCGTTCGAATTTGCCAATATAACGAAAACTCTGTATTGTTTTTATCACAGGCGCCCCGGAGAATAAATATCTGTTGTTGTCACATTGTTGACATTTTTCTAAATTTAAATTTTGCGATCATTCCGAAAATGCTAAGAAAGGACAGCTTTAGCTTGAGATGGGCCATATTGTCACATGTTAAATTAAAATATTTGTACTCAAACCTGAAACACCCTGTATTTATCACAATTTGCTGCAACTCCTTTCTGCCCCTGAGAGCAGTGTGCATAGTGGAAGATTTTTTCACAAAAGCAAAGCAGGCAATGTAGGTATATGAGGATTAACGAATCCAATTCCATCATAAAATCATTCAAGGTTTCCTCAAGGTTTCCATTATTTTTTTGGCTATTGGTTTTCCTTTTATCATTTCCAGAACCTTATCCAGATAAACTTAGAAGTTTTTGCCTTTGTATTTTTTTTCTTGAAAGTTGACATTTCACGAGATTCTAGAACATCTGGAATATTTAATATCAATATTTTTACTAAAACGAGGCTGCATTAGGTGTTTCGCTATAGAGATGATATAGTGGATTTCCTTTTCTTAATTTTGTTGAAGAATGAGTTCATGATCAGTATGAGAATATGACAATAGAGGAAACTCTCAGTATGTTCAAAAGGGCAACTAGATGTTGTTCTGGATTCCGCACTAACACATCAAATTCTTTGAATTTGAATGCGCTCTATAAGCGTTACAGTCTATTTTTTGTGTGTTTCCATTTCTGTTTTGACATAATATTCGAGTGGCTTCACATGTAGGTACCGTTTTCCACTACTTCTTATTTGAAAATGTTTATATTCATCGAACATACAGGGTGACAAGTCGAAAAGTAGCAATCGGAAATATTTCTTAGACAAAAAAATACTATCAAGAAGATCTCAAATACATATTGGAGGATTGGAGGAGGAACCAAAATGAGGCACTTGTTGAGTCACCCCACCTCACTTCTTAGGGGGAAGCTGCACTGAAAAAAGGATTCCTCAATTCAAAGAAATACGCACTTTATTCAATGAAATTGAGACTTTGGATATGGCCAAGTGAATATTGTCATAGGATTGTTCGAATACTTTACTGGAAAGAAGTAAGTTCTTGTCTCAAGAACACTATCCCAATGTAATGTATTTAACACAATTTCCTTGTCCCAGGCTACTTGATTTTTCAATTTTCTTGTCCCAAGAAAATAAAAAATTTATTCGGTTCCATTGAAGACCAAAGTACTTAGCTGAAGATCTCAGTTTTTTCACTAGAGGTCATCACGGCTCAAGTGAAGATGAGAATTTTTTGCCTGGAATCCATAAGTATTTGATGATAGCATTATTGGTCATAAAGAAACATCAGATTTTGTTTATCTTTGAAAATATTTATAAGCCTAAGAATTGAAACAATTTTTACAAAAAATTGGCCCACTAACTTAAAAATCATTATGTCATTACAATTTAAATAATTAAAACTGCTAAATTGGAAACTTAACTTAGGTATACTACTTGTAAAGTTTACATTATATACCTTCAATCTTTTCCAACAAGTGGGAGAAGTGGGACAGCTTGTTTGCCTTCAAAAATTCTTGTATTGGGTCCATCACGATTATTTTCCAAATAGGATTGCAAGATAATTTTGAACCCCTGACTCACTGATATCCTGGGCAACACCATAGGAAACAGGATGTAACTGTTTGTGATATAAGTTTAAAAAAAAGAAACTATGGAACCTCCGAATTGACAACTAAACGCAGGTCAGGTCAGAGCAGGTCGCAGGCAGCACGATACACTAAACTGCTAGGCACTACACAACTGGGTTGGAAGGCACCGGCAGAAACTTGAATTTTTAATAATATTTTGAAAGATTCCATCAAAAATCAAGATTCTTGGCCTAAATAACAAGGAGCTTAACAATTATGCAATAAAAGATTCTTCTTCGTATAAGAGAATATAATTTCGCCTGAAAGAAATGTCATTCAAAGTAATTTTAAAAAATATCAAGAAATTCTCAGAACAAAGTAATTTTTCTTCATGCAGTAGATTAACTCTTCATATATTTAAAATAATTTATTTCAAGATCACTGAATACCTTGATGAGGTAAGGAGAGCTGTTTTTTCAGTGTGCCCTAACTTATTTTTCTCGAATTCAATTCGAACCTACCTTGGTTTGCACATGGTTCGATAGCTCGTTGCTATCCCTTTACAGTCATATAGCGGAATCTCAAATAGGACGATTAGTTTTTGAGATATCGGTGTTTAAAAGTAAGTATATTTTGAAAACTAGTAATTTTCACTATCTCTTAGACAAAATAATTCTGTCGTAAAAGTTTCAAACACACATCAGGGAAACCAAATGTGTTGATTGCCTAACCCTCACTCCTCTTGTCTTGAGGGACTATCAGCTCCTAATATTTTTTTCAAAATGAGAACCTATACCCCGTGTGATAGCTCCTTTGAAAGGTTTTTTATTCGTCTTTAAGAGATGTGCAGAAGCAGATAGAATTACGATAAACATATTATTTGGTTTGACCGATGTGTATTTGAGACTTTTATGACAGAATTTTTTTGTCTATGAGATAGTCAAAAAATTACTAGTTTTCACAATGTGCTTATTTTTAAACACCGATATCTCAAAAACTAATCGTAGGTACGATTCAAGA